GCTGTACACAGGTGAGGTCTACTGGAGCCCTGCGGTCACCCAGAGTTACTGGCAGATCGGCTCGTCCTGGCCCACCGTCTCTGTGAGATGCTGGGTGTGAGGCACCTGTTACGTATTTGTGCTAAAATGTATTCTAATACATACGTGGCTCTGCAAAGAAGGACGCTCGGCCTTATGTCACCTAAGCTCTCCTCTGCTTCTCTGCCATTGTGGCCACATTATTACGGGTGACTGTGAGTCTCCCCAGGAGCCTGGGACATAGGAGCAGGGACTGCCTCCCCACTTTGCCCTTGGGGTTGTCTGAGGACAGGTGTTCTGTCTTCTTTCTTCTCTCCCTTCTCCTCCTCTTCCTTCTTATTCCCCTTTTTAAATTTTATATAATTTTTTTTGATTTTATATAACTTTTTACTGAAGCATAATTACACATACAGAAAGGCGCACCTATCAGGAACCAAACATACCCACGTAACCGGTGTGCCGATCAAGAAACAACATACCATCAGCATTCCGAAAAGGAACAAAATACCATCAGCATTCCGAAAAGGAACAAAATACCATCAGCATTCCGCAAAAGTCCTTTTTCCTTTTCACTCCCTGCCTCCACCCCAGGGCCCAATGTAAAGAAAAAGATTCAGGATACTGGCATAGTTTCAAAGTATCTGTCCAGAAGATACTTATTGATTACAAGGCAAAGATACTAACTTTTCCATAGAGAAACCTGTTATACCGCACCTTAACCACGTGATCAAGGGGACATTAGCAGTGACAAGACACATCAGCATCACAGACATTCTGACGTGGTACACTCAGAGGTCCCCTCTGTGGCATCCTTCCCCAAAATACGTGCCCTTGGTTAAATGTGAGAAAACATCAGAATAACCACGATCGAGGGGCGTTCTACAAAATCACTGATCAGTACTCTTTAAAAGCAGAAAGGGTCACAAAAGACAAACAAACTGAGGAAGTGTCATAGAGTGGAAGAGACTAAAAAGACATGAAAACCAAATGTGATGTGGGAACCTAGACTGGATCCTGGACCAGAAAAAGGACAGTAGTGGGAAAACTGGGGAGCTTTAAATAAAGTCTGCAGAATATTAATAGTGGTATACACGGTCAATTTCCTGGTTTTGGTAGTTGTACCGTGGCTGTTACATAAGATGCTGACATTAGGAGGTGTTGGATGAAAGGTATGTGGGAACTCTCTGTATTACATTTGCAACAATTCTGTAAGCCTAGAATTATGTCAAAACAACAACAAAAATAAAAAGTCTAGCTGGGTGTGGTGGTGCACACCTGAGGTCCCAGCTACTCCTGAGGCTGAGGCAGGAGGATCGCTTGAACCCAGGAGTTTGAGGCTGCAGCATGCCATGATTGGGCCTATGAATAGCCACTGCACCCCAGCCTGGGCGACCCAGTGAGACTTCATCTCTAAATAAGTAAATAAATAAATAAAATGTAAAAAGCGTACATCTCCGGTCTAGTATGTCCCCAAGAGGTTTGGTTGAACTAATAGCATAAGTATAAAACACACATACACCATTTAAGGAGAGAACTATAAGGCCAAGGACAATTGCTGAAACTGTAACTAAAAATTCTTGCAGACAGCTGCCGAAGACCTAAGGTTTGTGGAGTACCTGTCCCCAGCGCTGCGGCAACCCGCTCAAGGGTTAGCGTATACAGGGAAACCTCAGACCCCTGGCCCAATCTCACACCCATTGCAAGAGACCCTCCTCCCAGCCTTCCTCACAAGGCGCTCTTTAGCCTCTGCTTGAGTGACTCTGATAATGGGAAGCTCATTACTCGACTCTTTTGGATGATCTTTAGTTTGTGAGCCCAAGTGCTATTGATAGGATGAGAAATTGGAAATACCCCGAATGAATCGGGCCAAGTTAGCTACCAAGATGAGGAGCTCTGTATGGCCACTGAAAGTGAGAAGAAGAGTGCAGCAATATTATTAAGGCCTGAACACGTGAGTAACCCAAAGTGCCAAGAGCAGCAGTTGCGTTTGCACATTAATAACAGCTATGTTGAAATCTAAGCCTATACAGTAAGAGCTGGAAGATAATGCAGAAGGGTGCAAATCATTGTTTTAACTTCCCTTGATTTTTTTTAAAAAATGATACATATATAGAGAGTTTTCAATGGAATTTAGTGCCCAGAATTTTAAAAAATTCCCTCCATTAAAGGACTTGGGGATTGTCACTTCATGATTGAGAATGGCTGCATGTGGCACGACATTGGGAAGGAATCTAAGGCCACATTTGAGCACTGTGGGAAAGAGTGACATGGTGTCTGCCATGGGTGAAGAATGAACAGTGGCAGCGTGCATGCTATGTAGTTGTCACCTCTTCTAGTGACACTCCCAGCTCCTGGTTTCACTTTTGTAGACCGCTAAAAGGTGGGTTTGTGCTGATTAAGGAGCCATGTGCAGGAAAAGGCCTCTTCTTTGAGTTACAGGCTGTAGGATTTGGAGCAAGTTACTGGAATATAAAGCAGTATGAGATAAATACCATATGGAAAAGAAAAGCAAAATCCTCTGCAATGGGGGTCAGTTTGCGAGTTGGTGGGCATGACAGGGAAGACTTGTGGCATTTGTACTGGCTCTTGCAGGATGAGGAGCCTTTGCAGGTGGCTATGCCTGGGAAGGGCATTTCTGATGGAGGCATGGCATGACAGCCACGGAGGTTGGAAAATAACAGGTCTCCTTAGGAGAAAGCAAAGAGCCTGCACAGGTGAGAGTCCTGGACGCTAGGGTGACAAGTTTGGATTTTATTTAGTTAGCCACAGGGGGATGAGACTAACAAGTGGTAATAAAATGCCCCCTTCCTGGAGACCACTACCATGAGGGACCTCAGGACTGGTTTTTGACAAGAGCCCTTTGGGGTGTGGGATGGAAATCTGAGCACGGGGGTGATGGGGTGTGGGAGACACAACTAACTCCCACTGAGAACAGTCCCATGGGCTCCATCTGCTGCTCAGGGTCTCCTGAGCTCCCGGCCAGGCACACAGACGCACAAGCCTCAGTCTCTGCTCTCAAGAAACTTCTAATCCATGGAGAAAAGAAACATGGCCCCAGGAAGCAACCAGAGACCAATCCCAGACAGTGTGAGATCCAGTACCAAGGGGAGGACACCAGATGGCTGTGAAGCACTTAGGGGTAGAAGAGGAACTTGGGCGGGAGCCAGAGGGTCAGGTGTCCTAGGGCCCCTGTACTCTGCAGAAGGTGGCCCTCAATGGTTTCTAAGGTGTCCTCAGGCTCTGCAGATCCCTGAGTCTAGAGGGAGAGGCCTGGAAGGAGGCCAGAATTTGGTAGAGAGAAGGGAGAAAAGTGGGCTTTCCACATACGGGGGTGGGAGGAACAGGCCAGGAGCAGGGGAGGGCTTGGGATGCCAGGGACTCTGAGGAGCCTGGCTGAGCTGTCAGAAGATCAGGTTGGGTAGGCAGGGGCTGTGGCCCCCAGGGCCTGGCAGCCAAGCAGGGATGCCCTGGCTCCATGTAGCTGGCCAGGGACGCTCAGAAGGGCTGTGGTGTGACTGGGGTTTGGGAAGATGAGCCTGGCAGCCTCCAGACTCCTGGGGCCCTACCACATAAGGAAAGGTCCCTGGAGGCCCACTGCTGGCAAGTTGAGTGGGCCTCATGAGACTTTGGAGATCCCATGGACTCTGCTACATTCATTGGATTTGGCAAGATCCCAAGGATCCAGTAACTTTCTTTTGCCTGCTCTTCCAAATCTGCAGTCACCATCCCGGGGAAGCCACTCTCTACCTTGCCTTCTACCCCAGGCTCCAGTGTCTCTCTGGGGACGTACATGGAGGAATGGGAGCTGAGCTGGCCTAGAGACACAATCAGGCTGGCAGACTTCTGGTTCCTCCTTCCCCTCCCCCATCATAGGGGAGGCTGCAGGGCTCTGGCTGAGGGGTGGGGTGGGGTCAGTGGCCAGGGTGGAAAATCCCCCCTGACTGGATGATATCAGTGATTGGCAGGTCTGGTCCTGCCCTTCTGCCTGGGGCTCGAGTACTTGAAACATCTGCTTGGAGCCCTGAGTGCAGGGTACAAGGAGGCAGAGAAGGTATTGGCACGGGGACTTTTCCCGCTCACCCCAGAATGGAGAGCTTCCATGGGCCAGGGGAGCAAATGCTGGGCCAGCTCCAGTGTTCAGGCAGTGGGAAGCTTGGAAGTAGGGTGGGGGAACTGGGCAAACGGGGAATGGGGCGGAGAAGGGACATGGGGATGGGAGCTGGGGATGGGAGCTGGAGATGTGGGCTAGAGCAACAGGGTGAGTCAGACTTGGGGGCCAGACAAGGCTCGGGAGATGATAATTGGGGCGGGGGGCACTGGCATTTTAGGAGAACTAAAGATGGGGCAGAGGCACAATGGGGTGGGAGAAAAGGCAACAAAAGACAGAAGCAAGGGGCAGGCCTGTTCTCTCTTCCCAGGACCCTGCTCCAGCCTCTGTTTCAGGCTGGGACGAGAAGCACAACCAGAAGCTGGTGTGGTTTACTGTGTGAGTGTGTCCTGAGCACTTGCCGAATTAGGACGACAATTTCTCCAAATGTCCCGTTAGGCTTGGAAGCCTCTGAAGCCACCCAGACAGCTCCGGTTCCCAGCCCTACCGTCACTGCTGACACTGCCGTTACCACCACCATCAGCACAGCACAGCCTCCCCGCGAGCCCCATTTTCACAGCCCTCACCCTCGACACCGAGCCTTGCACCAGCCAGGCGTGGAGGGTGCTGAGAGTCAGAACCTGGGTGAGTCTGCAAACTCATCACCTACAGACCAGCCGTTCCCAGCAATTTTGCCTCTCAGGGAACATGTGGCAATGCCTGGAGACATTTTTGGTTGTCACAACTAAGGGACTGCTCTTGGCCTTGAGTAAGTAGAGGCCAGGGATGCTGCTAAACATTTCACAGGGTGCAGGACAGGGCCCATGACAAAGAATCCTTTGTCCCAAAGTGTCAACAGCACGGAGGTTGAGAAACCCTCCCTACAGATCCATGCCGCTCACTCTGGCTTTACCTTATCCTGGCCCTGGTCCCCAGATGCCCACATCATACCTCTGGTTTCTGGACAAGAAGTAATCTTTGCCACTCCATCTTTTGGCAACTTTGTTCTCTGTCATCGCTTGTGCCTCCTGGCCTCCACTGCTTGTATGAAAAAGTCAATAAGATGAAAAGTCTGTTGCGGCCACCCTCGAGGGGGAAACACAGGGCGTACCCTAGATTGGGGTCATACTTGCCCAGGGCAGGGAGGCAGGGACTGGGCTAGACCCTGGGGGTATAAAAGAGGAAGGAGCACTCAGGCCTTCACTTTTCTGCAACTGCAGAACTCGGAGTGGCTTTTCCTCCGCGGCCAGTCGGGAATCGGCATGATGAAGTGGTTGGTGGTGGCCTTGGTCTGTCTCCGGCTCTCGGAGGCGGCTCTGCTCAGGTGAGTCTGGGGCTTGGCTGGTGGCGAAGGGAGCCTGGGTGGGAGCCTAAGGGTGCATTGGGTGCAATGGGTCTCTCGGCCAGGGGCTGTTCCACCTATCTCTGCTCTGAAATTGCTGCTAGGGAAGGGATATTTCTGCTGGTGTTGGACAGGACCCATAGGTGGGAGGAGACACAGTCCCTGCCTTCAGGAAACAATCCTTTCTGGATAAGGCATAAGATAATTTTTTCTAAAAATGTTCTTAAGGCCAAAATCATCTAAGCATGCCAGTAAATGTAGATCCCTATGCCCTGAGGGGTCAGGAGAAAAGTCACGGAACAGTAGGTGGATGGCTCACAGCTGTCGAGGGCAGGACCGCCCACCTGGTGAAGAGCTGGCTCCTCTCAGACACGTCTTTTAAAGTGCAAAAGTGGTGGTTGGCATGGAGCTACAGTCTTCAAAGGCTCATCATGAAGGGGTTAACAGGGAATTTCTGGAGAACACAGGGGCCTGAGGGAGTAGGGACTAAGAAGGGGAAAGACATGAAAGAAGGAGGTATTCTGGAGCTGCAGTACGGCCTGGGTGGACCCCAGAGACTCAGGCAATGGCAGCATGTAGGCCCGGGAGGAGTGGGGCCAACAGAGTGACTGTGCCCGTGGGAAGAGAGGCAGAGACCATGATTCCAAAATTCTAATTCCAAAGCTGATCTGGGCTCCAGGCCACCCAGGCCGACTTCCGCGGTGGCCCTGCTGTTCTGAGAAGAGCAGTGACGAGCCGTAGGCCATGCAGTTAGCAGCAGGGGTGGAACTAGGACCCTGTCTCCTGAGTCCCAGCTAGTTCTGTTCCTGTCCCTCCATGCTCAGTCACATCCAGCTGGTGACAGGTGCCTGAGGGCCACCATAGTAAGGGACTCTGGGGTGAGCTTTGCCATCTTTAAAACTTTCCTTTAAAAATGCACATACCCTGGAAAGGCTAATACCTAAGGTCCTTCTCCCCTCCCTGGGAAGGAATGATGGGATATTTGAGTGGAGGGACAGGGAGAGGGCATGCAGGGGTGGAGTTGACGGTTTTCTGAATCTTGGAGCAAATGCTGAGAAGAGTTTTGAAAGAAAGAGAAGAGGAGGGGAAGAGAGAGAGAGAGAGGCCGAAGGAGACAGAGAGACACATGCAGAGACAGAGACATAGAGACAGAGAAACAGAGACTGAGACAGGGAGAGACAGAGAAAGAGACACACAAGCAACAGACTCGGGGACAGAGTGGCGGGAGAGTGAGGTGCATAGGTAGCGCTGGGAGGAGAGGAAGGGGCCTGCCCTGACACATGGCCCTTCTGCAGAGTCCCCGTGAAGAAATTTAAGTCCATCCGAGAGAAGATGAGGGAGAATGGTGCAGAGGAGGACCAGAGGACCCAGAAGTATGACCCCGCTCTGAAGTATCGCTTCACCAATGCTGTCGTCGAGGTGGGCTACGAGCCCATATACTACAGGGATGTGAGTCCAACCCTCCCCAAAGGCTGCGAGCCAGGCCGGACAGCATGCTACACCCCTTCTCCCTGCCCCTCCACCTGCCCTGTGGTCTGCCCCGACCCCACATATGCCTTTGCAGCTGGGCGGGCACAGACTGAGGGTCTGTGGGTTCGGGGCAGGTGTCTCGGGGAGACTCGGGTCCCTGTTTGTGGTGCAGGCTGAAGGGCAGGGGCTGGTGCCGTCACTGCTCTGCCCATCGAGAAACCTGGGCCCCAGGACCCCCGTGGAGCTAACAGCCTGCCCATGGCCCCACAGGCTTCCTTCTTTGGCGACCTCAGCTTTGGAACTCCACCCCAGAAATTCAAGATCCTTTTTGACACCGGCTCCTCTGACGTGTGGGTCCCCTCTGCCCTCTGCTACACCATAACCTGCTGTGAGTGCCGGGCCAGGCAGGGAGGGTGGCGGGCAGGGCGGGGCAGGGCGTGGACACCCTCCAGGGAGGGCCACACTACATGAGGGATAGCTGGGGGAGCTCAGTCCTGGAGAGCACATCACGGGGAATTGTGCAGGGTCACACGGCACGCCCATGGCAGTGGGAAGAGGCTGGTGACTCCTTTACTGTCCCTGCTGACCAAGGTGCCTCCCTGCGTTTATACCACTCCTCCTCACGTCACTCCATTTATCCCACTCTAACCCCGTTCTGTTAACTCTGGGCAATGCCACGCCATGTCACATGACTAATTTCTACTCTATTCCATCCCACTTGATTCCACAACATTCTATTCCACTCCACTCCACTATGAAGTCCTCACTGAGTGCCTCTAAGAGACATGACAGAATATAGGGGGAGGTCCCTGGACTGTCGTAGTTTTGGGAGACCGGCGGTGTTCACTTTGCCCTGGTCCCTGCCAAAGCCTTGCAGTTTTGGTCCTGACACCTCTGGTGCAACAGGTCCCTCAACAGTAAAGGTTGGGGCACTTGGGGATGCCCTGGAGGGTTGAGGGAAGTACTCCTTCATCTGCTGAGTGATTAATTACTCAGCCCCTGCTGTGTGCCAGGTGCTCTGCCAGGGCCGGGGATACACAGATGGGTTCTATGCAACCCTGCCCACAGGGAGGCCACGGTCCTGGGGCATCCCAAGATTCTGTAAATCAGAGGGGGCTTTGGGGCCAAAGCTGGCCAGCTCTCATGGGCCTTCCAACACCTGGAGCCTTGGCTGGCTCCCCCTGACTTGTGGCAGCTCCCAAGCTGGGCTAGGGTGAGATTCAGGCTGGGTAGAAGAGCAGGGGCACGGATGAGAGGCATGGGTACTGGGATAGAGGCAGGTGACTGGACGTGAAGATCAGGGGCTGGGTGAGGCAGGGGCTGGTCTAGAGCATGGGGGCGGGTGAGAGCAGGGCCTGGTTGAGAGGCAGGGGAGCTGGTGAGAGCAGGGGCTGGTGAGAGAGGGCTGGGTGAGAGGCTAGAGGGTCTGGGTAGAGCAGGTGCCTGGTGAGAGGCAGGGGGACTGGATGAGAGGCAGGGAGCTGGTGAGACCAGGGGGGCTGTGAGGAGCAGGTACTGAATAGAGGCAGGGGGCGTTATGAACGACTTGTGAGATGGTATAGATGCTAGCAGCCCTGCATTCACTTGCCCGCCTGACTCTCCAACCTCTCTGTCTACCTGCAGCCAAACACACTCGCTTTGATCCAAGCCAGTCTTCCACTTTCACCACCAAGTGGAAGTCCTTCTCCGTGAAGTACGGCAGCGGCACCGTCAATGGCTTCTTTGGCTATGACACTATCTCTGTGAGTGGGTGCCAGCTGTCGCTCCCCACCCTGGGGTATGGGAATGGAGGCCAGGGCTGTGAACTGTGAGCTGGCAGGGACATTATACGGAGCCCCTGAAGCATGGTGGATGCTAGTTCTTGGCTGTGCAGGACAGGAAAGGAAGACAAGAGGGGCTCATTCAGTGACTCCTTGAACATTCACTGTTGGCCACCATGTGCCAGGCACAGGGGCACCATGCTGGATGGAGACGGGCATTGCCCTTTTTCGTAAGGAGCTTAAAGCCTGGGGAATTCAGAGAAGAGGGAGAGGGGTTGGGGAGGCGTGCTGCAGCAGTCAAGGAAGGCTGCCTGGAAGAGGTAGCTCCTGCAAGACCTGTCAAAAAGGGAAGGGGCAGAAATGAGGAAGAGATAAAGAGGGGAGCTTTGAGGGATCTTTAGGGGCAGCCTGGGGAGATAGGTGGAGTCAGACTTGTCACCTTCCCTCATTTGTGTGTACCCCGCCCTCCCCAGTTCCCGGCCTTCCAGATCCCCAAGCAACAGTTTGGCCTGACCACGTATATGCTCGGTTCAACGTTTGTCTACTCAGAGTTTGATGGCATCTTGGGCCTGGGCTACCCTGACCTGGCCAGGGATGGGGTCACCACAGTTTTGGAGGGAATGGTGAATAACGGCATTTTCTCTGAGCTCATCTTCAGCTTCTACATCTACAAGTGAGGAGCCACCACCTCCCAGCCTCTCCCCTGCAGCGCTGGACCACTGAGGCTCAGTGCTTTGGGGTTTGGAGGCCTCCCAGCGGACACCTGGCTCCAACCACTCCTGTTCCAGGGCCTTCCCTCCTGGGCATCTGAGTCCTCCCCAACCCCACGCCTGTGTCTATCCCCAGCCCACTCCGACTTTTCTTTGCATTCCTTGGCTTCAGCCGGGACAGAATCTCTCCCACTTCCAGGTGACCTTTGCTCTGGTTCTTGGCACCTCTTGGATTTGCCTCCCGCCTGGGGCCCCAGTTAGCTCGTTTCCTTCTGACTAAATGTTTTCTACCTGGATACCTCTTTTGTATAGTAATCTATTGCTTCATCTTCTTTGATCTATTGTTCTAGCCTGGTCCTGGAGTCACCTGGTCTAGGTCCACCACTGACTTCTGACAAGCTGTTATCCTCACCAGCAAACAAAAGCAAACACAGGCACTTAGAGAAGGGCCTGGGATTGACCTCTCTCTTCCTCTTCCGAATCGGCCAACCAACCGCCTTCTCCAGACAGTTAGCGTCTACTCTCTAAGGCTTAATCACTTGAATATGACTTTGAACAACACTCCCCTGTTGCCCATGTTGCTAACTGACTCTCTGCCTCTGTTTACAATCTGTCTGCACGTGACCTTTCAGAGCCCCACCCAGTCCTACACGCCAGCTGCCAGGGGAGGCCTCTGGAACAAATGTGGCCTACCCTCCCATCCACCAAGGCCCTTTCTCTCTCCAGTCCCAGCAGAAAATTAACAAGCAGGGTGGGCCTGGGTGGGGCTCCTGGTGACATGTTCCACTAGTGGCATGAAGTGGCATGAAGTGGAAGGCAGAAGAGAGGGAGTGTGGGGTGGGACAGGGCGGGGGTCCCAACAATGAGGGGGTCCCCTGGAGGCAGGCATCATTCCGGAGCCAGAGACACTGGGAATTCTGAGAGGTCCAGCCAGAGGGGAGCCCCAGTCTGAGGGGAGGCACGGCCCTGTTCCCAGCCCTGTCCCCCGGGAGCCGCAGCCTGAAGCTGGGGAAGGAGCTCTGTTTCCCTTCTAAGGTGACTGCTTAGCAGGAAAGTCCTTTTCCACAGCTTTCCCTGACTTGTCCTTGCTTTTGTCTCTATAGGCGGAGGGTCACTGAGCTCGGGGGAGTGATCATCTTTGGGGGTGTGGACCACAGCGTGTACGTAGGGGAGATCCACTGGGTCCCCGTGACCGAGAAGGGCTACTGGATGATCGACATGGAGGGGTGAGGCTGGTGGGGCCCTGCGACGCAGCACTCCCTTGGAGTGGGCTTCAAGGCACATGTCACACACACAAGCAGGCACTGCTGGTGGGGGGTGCAGAGGCTTGTCCCACAAAGCCACAGCTGCCCTCTGCAGGAGTGTCAAAGCCCTGGAGAAGTGGCGTGGGGACGACATAGGCAGGGGCAGGACCTAGAATCCCAAACATTAGAGACCTTGTGCTCAAAATCCTTGCAATGAATCAGTGGCCCTGGCTTTCAGTGTTTTTACAACCTTCCTTGAAACTTCTCAAGAATAGATCCCATGGCCAGTGAGGTGACCTTGGACAGATTCTGGTATGGTGTGATTAGGGCAATAGCCAGATTGCCCTCTGCAGGCTCCTTACTTTCCCAAGTATAGCTTGATTGTGCAGCTAGCTGCCTGTCCCACCCCCAGCTGCCCAGAGCTGGTGGGGTGCTGAGGTCGCCCATCTATCCCATTCAGGTTTCTCATTGGCAACCATGCCACCAGCTTCTGCTCCCTGGGCTGCAAGGTCATCGTGGACACAGGCACCACTCTGCTCACCGTGCCCGATGAGTACCTGAGTGAAATTGTGCGGGCCACAGGGGCCACAGACAATGGCAACGGAGAGGTGCATCTAATAGGGGTGTCCCCTCACCAGGGGAGGCCAGCCCAGAGGCACTCATGGTTTCTCCTGGGAACACAAAAATAGCCTGACTTGGCCTCCATGCCTCCAGCTGCCCAAGGAACTAGAGGTGGAGGGACCTTGGCTGACTGAGGCTGGGGGCTGGTTGGGGACCTGGAGAGGTTCAGGTGGGCCAGAGGCTTGTGCTGAGCGGGGGATGGGAGGTTACTATTAGGCAAGAATTTCTCAGAGCTGCAGTCATTCAGAGGAAACAGATTAAACACTTGCTGGGCTTTAGGATAAGAGCAAAATAACTGGAATGTGGGGATAAGCAAGTGAGTGACAAGGGCTAGCCTTTAATCCACACCTTCCCCACCTCCACAGGGCCATGCGTCACCCTGCCCCCAGTCTTGAGCCCAGCAAAGAGTTTGCCTAATTACTCATCCCCACTGACTGTGGGGCACCAATGGGGTGCTCTCTCTGCAGGTCTACGTGTTTGAAAGGACACTTGCAGAGAAAAGGAAGAGATTCAATCTTTCGTAGGGAAAATTCAGGCAAGAGAAATGTTTTGGAGTGGGGGAGATTCTCAGGTTTCCCCAAATTATACCCATTCTATAGGAGGTCATATGTGTAATGCTGGGCCTCTCTACACAGGACTTTTCCTTGGAGCTGCATCCTCTAGTCCAAAAGCAGGCTTGGGGCTTGGCCTGGGGCTCAGGCCCAGGATCCCAGGGACAGGGTGGTGGAGTTAGTGGGGTCTCTCAGGTGGGAGATACGGCACCTGGAAACCTGTTTCTCTTGGCAGTATCTCGTAGACTGTGACAAGGTCAACAACCTGCCCAACTTCACCTTCGTCATCAATGGTGCACAGCTCTCTCTGCCACCCTCCACCTACATCCTCAGTGTAAGTCCTGGTCCCTGCAGGCTGAGCCACCATGACTGGGGGTGGGAGGAAGGGGTGGGGAGTCAGAAATGCCTCCTTACTTTGTGCTGTTTCCCGACTCTTTGCAACACTGATTTATTTTTATCTATTCATTGATTCTAAACCTCCTTCCTTGGAACAAGGCTATGAAATAGGAAAGTGTCATCTATTATCAATTAATATTAATTAATGGGGAGAGGCACTGGGCTTTTTGTTGAGCACTACTGGGGCCAGCCACTGTGTGAGGCCCTTTGCCTGCACTATCCCACATTATTGTCACATTTGATTAGGAAGAAACTCATTTCTGTTTTACAAATGAAAACTTGGAGGTTCAGGGAGGTTAAGTAACTGACCCAAGGGTACAGAGCTAGTCAGGGTGAAGCTAAGGTTTGAATCCAAGTTCCTCACCTGTTGATCTAGTTTGGACTAGAAGTTTCTGAGGAATGTTGGATGTCTATGCGTACATGTAAAAGTCATGGGAATCCTTTAGGGGCAGGGTAATACTTCTGAAACTATTTCTGGAAGGCTTCAGAAGGCTGGGGCTAAGTTAGGCTGATTGTATTGTTACCCAGACCCTTATGTCCCAGGACCTGTATTTGAAGGAGGGCAGGCCCTCACCTGTGGAAAAGAGGGTTAGCTACTTGAGTCACATGGAAATCAAGCCCAATTGCTCTAACAAACTCAGCAAGAGGTCTTGTCCCTCTAGACATCCCTATCTTTCTTAGGATCTTCCTAGTGATATATCCAGAAACCTGGGGCAACATGGCTTGTGGGGGAGGAGAAAGCAGAGAACAATGGCTCAGGACCCTGTTAACTTTCAACAGGGGAAGGTGACATGAAAGGAGATCATGTCCAGCAACATGGTGATGGTGTATGCCCAGCAAGCTCGGGCTCATAAGGGGATGTAAGTGGAAAACTCATAGCAGGGAGGGGCAGGCTCCATTCTAGTCATATTTTACTAGGCTGACCCTATCCTTCACTAGGCTGACCCCAGCCTTGCCCCTTATGCTCAGGGGGAGACATAAAAGTGCAAGAGCCAGGTCTTGCACCCTGCTCCAAACCAGGAGGGAAGCTGGGGCTTGCCACAAGAGGAGTTTCTATGGTAATGGCAGCCATCTGGGACCCTGCGTCTTTCCTAGACTGCCAGGAATACAGCCTGCTGCAGGTCCCTCCTTGAGGGTCAGACAAGCCACTGGGTGTATCGCAGTGAACCCCAGTTCAGGACCTTACTAATTGAGGAAAAAGAAAACGTGCAAAGGGGTAGAAGTGGAACAAAGGTTCCAAGTCAAACGCCAAGTCCCTTCAGGCCTTGGCCCGCAAAGCGGGACTACAACTCCCGGTGTGCCTAGCGGGGCTACAGTCAGGACTACGCTTCCCAGCGGGCGCCGCGGCAGACCGGCGGGGGGGCGGGGCGGGGCGGGGCGGGTCGCAGGGCGGGTGCTGCCCTCTGCCGGGCGCGGAGGGAAGTGGGCGCGGAGTGACAGCCGGAGCCCGGGCGCCGGGCGCGGGGCTCGGTGACAGCGGAGGCGGCGGCCGCGGGCGGGACGCAGGGAGCGGCGGCGGCGCCGACAGCGGCGGGAAGGGCGGACCGGGCGGGCCTCCCGGGTGGCGTGGAGCCGGAGGAGCCCAGGCGCGGGTGGCGGGCGCAGACCGCAGGCCGGGCGCTCAAAGTTGGGACAAGTTGCCGGAGCCGCGGGGCGTGAGCGGCGGACGGACTGACCTTCAGAGTGAGGTGAGCGGGCCGAGGGCGAGGGGCGCGCGGAGGGCCCGGACGCCCGCCCCGGGTCCCCGCCGCTGCCCCGAGGGTCCCGAGACAGGTGGGCGGCGGCGGGGGCGCCGGCAGGAGCGGGAGCAGGACCTCGCGCGCCGCCCGCCCCGCGCTCCATCCAGCCCGGGCGCCCGGCGCGTGCCCGCCCCGGCGCCGCGAGCGCAGCCCGGCGCCCCCGCGACCCTCCCTGCAGGCCGGGGCCGGGGGCGGCTTCTCCGCGACCTTATGTAACCGGGCGGGAGGGGCCGGGCGGGCGCGGGCCTTCCCGGCCGGGAGCTGGAGCCGAAGGGGCGGGAGGCGTGGGAGTGAACTTGCGAGAAGTTTGGGGGACGCGGGAGCCCGCGCCCACTCCCTCTCCACCGGACGCGGCGGAGGCGGGGATGCTGGGGAGGGGGTCGGAGGCAGGGGAGGCGTGCGGGGGCCGAGTGCGTCCGGGCCAGGCCCAGCCTGGATGGTCCCCGCGAGTGGGAGGGCCGGCGCGGCGCCACGCCCCGGGGGCTGGGCTGCTGGCGGGCGGGTGGAAGTACCATCTCTCCCCTCTCCGTCCCTTCCTCCAGCTCGGGCTGCCGAAGAAGCCGTCCCTGCCCGTGGCCCTCCGGTGTCCCTGGGTCCTCTTTTTCTCCCCTTGCACTACTCCACCATCCCAGGAAACCCCAACTCTGGAGAGCGCCCTCCGCGCCCGGCCTTCTGCTTCCCCCAGAGCTCCCTGCCGACGCCAGACCCCGAGTTTCCCCCTCCCCCGGTCTCGGTCCCGAATCCCGGAAAACACGCCCCCTTCCCCTAACCCCGTGTCCACGCCATCCCCGGGCTGTCCCGCCCCCCGCCGTCATCGCCCCTCGGTCCCCCCTCCCGTACCCCATCAGCTATTGGGCCCGGCGCTCGCCTCGAGGGGAGCGGGCAGATGCCGGCTCGGCCCCCGCCCTCGGCCCCCTCCCGCGGGGTTCTGGCTTCACGCACGGCTGCCCCGAGCTGCTCCGGGCTGCGCGAGCAGGTTCGCGCCGCAGCCGCCTGGCGCGCCCCAGCCCCGCGCCCCGGGGGAGGAAGGGAGGGCGCCCGGGGCGGGGCCGGTCCGCGCCGGCGCCTGCTCTGCCGGGCCGGCCCTCGGTCCTCGCCGAACCCCCGACAGCTCCAGCCGTCGTCCTCTCGCCTGTCTGTTCTGGGGACGGTTCGGCGCCCAGTTTCTTGATTAAACTTGAGCGCAGTTCTTGGGCTTGGCGCTCGGTGGGGAAGTGCAGGTTCATTACTGCCCTGCTCCCACCCCTCGCCCAAGTGAGGGGTGCTTAATCGAGCGGGGAGGGGACCGGGCCGATGCAGGCCCCAGTGACACCTCTGGGGCGTGGCCTCAGGCCCCTGCACCCGCACTGGCCCAGACCTGGCACTCTTGGGCAGTGGGGGTGAGGTGGGGGGCTGGTCTTTGGTTTCCTTTTAGGGGCCAGAAGCGGATGTGCTCAGTTCAGAACACGGTTCTTGGTGCCCCGCCCGGGGGACAGTCCGCAGGCCCTCCCTTCAGGGAGCTCACAGTCTGGGGAGAGACAGCCAGCAGTAGTCACTGGCCCGCCTGGGGAGGCAGGGGAAGGGGAAGGGTTGCTTGTCTTGGAAGCCCTATGTGGTAGTCTGACAGTATGCTTTTACCGTGCCTCAGTTTCCCCAGCCCCAAGAAAATTAGCAACTCGCTTGGCCCCTTCTTTCTGCCAGCCGCTTGGTTGCTGGGACAGGGAGAGCTGGGGATCTGAGGGTATAAGTGAAGGGCAGGGCTGTTTGGGGTGCTCCATGCTCCGCTTCTCCCGGAGGGGGGCCAGCGTGGCTTACATTAGAAGGCCTGTTCCAGCTGCAGGGTTACATTGTCCTCAACTCAGCTCTGTGAGGTGGAGCCGAGTGGGGACCCAGGTGTCTTGGTTCTGGATCCCATTGGGGTACAGGGCATGGGGCAGGGGTCATCTCAGGCAAGTACTGGATCCAGAAAGAGCCAGTTGGGCTTTTGAGGGGTAATGGCCTGGTGACTCACAATCAGAGGTGGGCAGGGGCTGACCAGGGCAGGCAGGAGCCCATCCAGGGATCCAGGATGGTGGCAGTGCCTGGTGTCCCCATGCACTGCATACAGAGCCTGCTTCTGAAAGCTGAATAGTAGGTGGGAGGGCACGCCCACCCCTCAGGCCTGGGTGCCCTTTGAGGGTCTGCTTTCTGGCCCTGGTTCCTCCTGGGGCTCTGTTTATGGCTGTAATTGCATCATTAGCCAGAGTTTATAGAGTTACTTAGCACCTGCCCCCACAGGGAGTGGCTCAGACACCCCCTGGCTTCTGTCTCTGCCTTTTCACAGTCAATGTGGTTTCTGCCAGCAGCAGGGGTTTCCCCAGCCACAGCTGTCGTTAAAGCCAGGTTGGGCCTTTGTCCTGGGGATGGAGGGCAGTTGGCACTTGGGGCCCGGCTGGGGCTGCCCTGGAGATGACTGTAGAAACCAGGTTGGCCTCCTCGGATCAGAGGGAGGGTACCCAGAGCTGCCAGAAATGTCCACATCCCAAGATGCAGTGAGTGTAACACACACTGTACTGCATCTATCCTCTGAAAGGAGCGAGATAAAAGCACACTCACCTCACAGGCTGTCGTGAGGATTAGGGGAGGAGCACTGCCTGGTGCATGGTATGTGATGTGGCTCTTTGGGTCAGTGTGGGGTTTGTGGGGTTTGTGTAACGGATGTGAGTTTGTGTGTGTGGTTGTGAGATTACAGGTATCTAGGTCCATGTGTATAGATGACTTGTGTATGTGTGTGTCTGTAAGAATATATATAATATATTATATTAATATATATTAATATATAATATAATATATAAATAGAATATGTTATCTCTTTATGCTATACTAGAACAGTGTTATAATAAACTTTGTCATACACTAGTTGCCGGTATTTATTGTGTATTTACTCTTTAGAGTGAGGTAGGAATTATTGTTTTCATTATACTGACTCAGAGAAGTTAAGCAAGTTGCTTAAAGTGACACAGCCTGGAGATGTCAGGACTGGGCTTCTACCAGGACCACTTGACTCCAAGATCTGTGTTCTCAATCCCTAAAGACCACTTCAGGGTTTCCCAGGAGTTCTCTCTTAAAAGGTGGGGGTATGGTGACCTGGGGACCTTCTTTTCCCTATTCAGGGTTTCTTGCCCTCAGTAGTGTGGGAACTTGCTGAAACTCCTGCCCCAGGACCACACCTGTCTCCTGGCCTCTTTTCTGAGCTGCTAGCATGAGTGACCAAAGGAACCCTGACTCGAACCTGTCTTGACTGGCCAGGGAAGGAGATAGGTTCAGACAAGTCTTCCTGAGCCTCTTTGGAGACCCCAGGCGCTCGGGAAGGGAAGGCAGCACTCTACTGACAGGCTTCTGGGCACCTGGCTTAGTGCACGGACTCCATGACCATTGGCTTCCTTTGAAGCCCTGGGTAGTGCTTGTTCAATCACACGTGGAGAAAAGGCTGTGGGGACTGTTGGGTGAGAAGGGGACGGCACTGAAGGTGGTAAGAGCACTGGGCCGGGAGTCGAGAGACCCTGCTCTGTCTTTGACTGGTTGTGTGGCTGGGGTAGGTCCCTGCTTTGCTCAGCCTCAGTTTCCAGATCTGTAAGCCTAGATCATCTGTGGGGTCCCCTCCAATGCGAACCTTCTACAGATCTTTGCCAAAGGCACCAGGGCAGGAAAGGCTTCAAGAGGGAGGGGTGTGGGTTGTGGGGGGATTGTTTGGGGAATACTGGAGTCCACAGAATCGAGCTTTAGCTAAAGGCTGCTTCTGGTGGAGCAAATTTTCTTGGGATGGAGCCATGGCCACCACAAATTTAGCACTGGGCCAGTGCAACTTGGTCAGGGGGTTGTTGACACCATGGGCTCTGGGGCCAGGCCACCTGGCTTTGAATCCCGGCTCTGCCATTTAATACTGCATGAGCCTGGGCCAGCTGCTTAACCCATCTGCCTCAGTTTCCACACCTAAAATGTGAGGCTTACTGTAGCACCTACCTCATAGTGCTGCAGTGAGGGCTGAGTGTATTGGTGCATGGTGCACATGCAGCGCTTAGAATGATGAGTATAATTAACTCATAACTCATGTATTTATTTCTCATGTGCAAGTGAGGAAATAGAGGCATAGAGGGCTTCAGGAAAGGGATAAAGACCTGTGGGCTGTAAGTAGGCCTCCCTGTGTGTCTAATGTCCTCTTAATGCAACACTTTATGTGGGCCTTTGCGGACTCAGTGGCCCCAGTCCCTACCATTCCCAATTGTACCACACCCAGCCTGGTCTCCTCACTTAACAAGACAGTAGAGGGCACTTAGCAATGCCTGCAGCATCTCTACCACCCCTGCCCTGCCCATTGCGTTTCCATGGGTAGCATCTAGCCTGGCCCCTGACCACTCACAACTAGCTGTGGCTCTCCCCTGCCGTCCTGCTGCCTGCCCCTCCTCCACTCTGCACCAGAGATACGGATCCCCTTGGCTGTGATGTCACCGAGGGCTGAGATGAAATCCTAGTGATAGGGTAGGGTCTGGGACTTACCAGGCACACAGGAAATGCTTTGCTGTGGAGTGGTGGGGCAGTGGGTGAGAGCAGAGGGTAGCCAAGAGGGGCAGAGGCAACAGGCAAGCACATCACTCACTGGCTTTCTTTCCTGGCTTTTAAGTGTGGGCATAAGGAGGAGAAGAAATTAGGTCTGGCCACTGCATCTCCTAACCAGCTTTCTTTGGGGAAGGCCACCTCATTGGCTCTTATGTATACAGCAGAGGTCTCAAAGATGCGATGCCATGGGGATTTGTCTGGGAACTCCACCAGACTCTCCATCCAGAAACCCAGGGTCCATCCCCTCCCCCTAGCCCTCCCTTCCTCCCTTCCTATGACCCAAATCTTGCTCTCTGGCAAGGCATACCTCTCCAGGGTACCAGGTGCACTGTTGCATCTTACCGCATCCTGGCTGGATGTTATGATCACCTGGGGAGCCCAAAAACTGCTGTTGCATCTGAATCTCTGGGGGAGGGGCCTAGGCATCATTGCTTTAAATTGCCCAGATGATTCCAATGCCTTTTCTCTAGAGCAGTGGCTCTCAAATTTGAGCATGCATCAGAACCCGCTGGAGGAATTGTTAAAACACAGGTTGCTGGGCCCCCTCCCAGGGTTGCTGATTCAATAGGTCTGCAAATTCCATGAGGTCTGGAATTTAAGTTTCTGACAAGTTATCAGGTGATGCTAATGCCACCTGTCCCCAGAGCAAACACACTTTGGGGACCACTGTCTTAGAAGCCTATTGCTTTGCAGCTCCCCTGACTGCTTTGGGTCTTTTAAGGTCTGTCTCTTTTTTGAAGGCAGGCAGTACTTCTGAGACCATCTGGTGTCCCCCTCAGCCAGTCCTCTCCCCTCCCTCCACCCTCTGCCCTACTCTCCGTTAAACTGACCCCTGTTCAGCTTTGTGGTTTTTGGTCTCACTCGCTGGGACAAGTGCTTAAGAAATTTGTGCTGGTCGATTAAGGCAAGGCGAGGTGGACAAACGAGGTAGCAGTAGCTGAGAGTCCATACTGTCTTCTACCGGGCGGAACACAGGGCAGGGCTGAAGCTGCTGCGGAGGCGCTTGGAGCTAAGTGGCATTGTTGGGCTAACGGGGCTGTGTCCAAGCGGACCCGCACTTTGACGGTGTGAGGCTGTTGAAAGGCCCATCACGTTATTTTACCCTCCCCCCCACGGTGGGCACATATTTGATCATGGTTTGAATCATATTTCTTAATAGTGAAAATGATAAAACGCACACAAAAAGAAGGCGTTCCTCTTTCTTTTCCTTGGCCAGACCGGAGATGTTGGGAGGACAGGTGGAGGGTCCCTGCTGGAGGTGGTGGTATCTTCATCATCTTCTAGGAGGTCCTGGCCTTGAGGCAGCAGATAGTTGTGAGAGCCCGGGGGCTGGCCTGTGGGGGTGGGGTGTGGGGAGTGGGGGTAGAGTTGGGGTGGAGCCTGGTGGAGGCAAGGTGAGGTGGTGGCAGACCCTTCAGCCCTGGGGGGGCGGGGCTTGGAGTCTGAGCCAATCAGTCAACAGGTGAATGGGATGTGCCCACGTCAGCACGCTGAGGACAGGGATCTGGTCTGTTTTGTTCCATGCCACATCCCCAGTGCCTAGAAGAGAGCCTCACGTACAGTGCACACTCAGCACACCTTTGTGGAATGAATGAGAGAATGTGAACTGAGCCCCCATCATGTGCCCAGAAATAAAGACACAAAAAAATGAAGACACAGTCTCTACTCTGCAAGTTCTTCACCATCTAATGCTCAGGGACATCGCACACAGCTCGACAAGGCCCTGCGGTCTCTGCCTTGTGCCCCCCCAGTTCTACCAGTGGGGCTGTGGGTGGGGCTCCGGTTTGTTTTCTCCTGTTTGCCAAGGGAAGTCACAGCCTGTCCTTTGCCTTATTTATAATTGGTTTGGGGACAGCACCTGCCCCAGCCCCCCGCAGTCCCTGAGGGGTGTGGAGTGGCCAGGAGGTGACACACTATACTGTCTACCCCCCACCGCCTCTTGTCCCCTCCCGGCTCTAGCCAGGTGCACTCAGCTGCCCTGCCCGGCAGTGCTGGCTGGCTCTGCTTCCGGCTGATTGGAGCTGTTGAGCTGGGGCCCTACGCGGTTGAGAGGTGGGGACACAGGCCCAGGGACCCAGCAGCCCATGGCCTTCAGTGCCATCTGAGTCAGTGGCGTGTACTGAACACTGCGTGGCCAGGTCGGGCGGGTGAGAACAAGAACATCGCTTCTTCCTCAGCAAGCTGATGGCCTAGCCAGGGAGTCTCGGTGACTGCAGAGGACAGAGGAAGGCAGAGTGACAGGAGAGAGTATGCAATTAGGTGCTAGATGAATGTAAATGTGGCAGCATTTGGCCCTTTGCTTCCTTGAGCTCTTGCTAGCACAGAGACCTTGACTGAGTTTAGGCCCTCAGCCCTCCCCCCATCTGGGCCCAGGAAAGGGCAGCTCTACTGCTCCCTGGGCCCTCCCAACCGGGGGTCTCCTCTGCAGGCCCAGGAGGCTTTTTTTTTGGATAAGTCCTTCCTTCCTGGAGGACTAGAGGCTGCTGAGTGCAAGGGGAGGCCCTGAGCCACCCACCTGCCTCATGGAAGCCCTGGGGCCATGGGAGGACTGGAGGTAAATCGGGCCCAACTCAGGCCTCTCTGGGCCTGCCTGCTGCGGAGCCCACAGTCTTGGGCCTGAATCTTCCCCCTGTTCCTTCCCCACAGCCCGTCTGGCTCCATAGCGTCTGGAGCACTGGCCCTCATAGGTGTGCGTGTCTTCCTCTCCTGTCCTGTCTCCCCTTCTCTCTATCCTCTTTATGTCCTTTTCTGCCCCCTTCCTTCTTTTGATGTGTTCGGAGGGTGCTGAGGCCCACCCCCCAGCACCTTCCCCAGAGTGAGCCTCCAATTCCTGCTCTCAGGGACCCAGAGGAGCGGCCCGGGGGAGGCCGAGGTGGGTGTGAAGACCCTCAGCCTATGTAGCCTCCATCCTTGGCCAGGCAGGGTGGGAGGTGGAAGGGGCTATAGTGGCTGGCTCTCGAGGGTGGAGGGGCAGCCAGCTGCCTGGCCCGCTGGGGGAAGGGGGCCCTCCCTAGACAGCCCCGAGAAACATCAGATACTCCAGACCTGTGACTAACTATAGGGTCACCCAGTTCTTTAGACCTAATTATAGTATTTTTCAAAGCCAGGTGTGAGAAGACAATATTCGAACTTTTATTTCTATTTATTTATATGTCATCCTTTTCTCTCTTTTATATTGTGAAAAACAGCACAATGGCTGAAAAGACCATGAACATACATGTACAATGTAGTAGATAATTTTAAAAGTGACCCCCTAGGTCACCACCACCCAGATGAATGAACATAATGTGGCTTGTACTCCAAAATCAACTTGTGTGTGTCCCCCCCACCCCCCGCCCCAGGCCCCAGAGATGACCCCTATCCTGATTTTTATGATAATCAGCTCCTTGCTTCTTTTTATCCTGTAGCCCAAGGGCTGTCTGCACCCCTTATTACTAGAGTTTAGTTTTGCCTGGCTTTGAATTTAATACAGATGGAATGAAAATGGACATGTTCTTATGTTTTTCCCATCTAGCAGTGTATTTGTGAGCGTCATTCATGTGTGTAGCTGTAGTATGTTCGTCTTCATTGCTGTAGAGCATCCATCTGCTACTCATGGACGTGTGGGCTGCTTCCCCCTTCCTTTGGCTACTAACAACAACGCTGTAAGAATACCCTGTGTGAACTCCCTAGTGCACTGGTGCATAAATTTCTTCAGAGCATATATAACTTGGCGTGGAATTGCTAGAGCACAGGGCATACAATGCGTATTTTAGCTTTAGTAAATATTTTGTTAAGTGGTTGTACCAATTTACTCCTCGCTAGCGACACACAGATTTCCTGTTGCTCCATGTCTTTGTCAACATTCGGTATTGTTAAACTGTGTGATTTCTACCTTGCTGGTAGGCATGTAAGAGTATCTCATCATGATGTAAATTACATTTTCATTCTCTTTTCTTGGTAGGTCTACTGATATTTTTGTGTATGTTTGCTAACGTGCATAATATATCCATTCATTGGTGCCTGTATAAGGGCTTCATGAGGAAAGAAGCACATCTTGAGGGTACTTGAAATTTTTTATTGCTAGGAGTGTATGATTGAAATATAATAGTTGACAGACCATTGTAATATTGAATGCTAGGAAGGGGGCTGGTGTATAGCTTGGGAGTGGGAGGGTAATATTTGATCTTGAGAGGAGACCCCCCCCCAGTGGCAGTGCCTGCAAGGGGGCTGCCTTCTCCCATAGGGTAGTGAGCCCCCAGAGTACCCACTGCCCTCAGGCCCCCCTGCCTGGCACATCTGGCAGGAGAAGGGGAGACTCCGGGGCTAAGTCCCCAGCAGGTGTCCCCTTCAATGTAGAATTGGTGGGTGCCTGTCTTCATTAGGTGCTTTTAGGACAGTGGTTCTTAACTGGGGGTGATTTTGTCTCCCCCAGGGGACATTTGCCATTGTCTAATGACATTGGCCAGGGATACTACTAAACATCCTAAAATGCACAGGACAGCCCCCACGACAGATAATTACCTGGCCCTGGGCATCAGTGGTGTCGAGGGTGAGAAACTCTGATCTAAGAAAAGAGCCAGGAAACTGAGATTTGCCGCAAACTTGCTGCATGGCCTTGGGGAAGTCACTTACATGTGTTGAACCTCAGTCTCAGCATCTGAACAACGGGGTGGCAAGGGTTGCTGTCCCTCCCCTTCACAGGGCTGTCATCAGGAGAGGGAGAGGGTGGACACACAGGCTTGTGGGGATCGGCCTGCAAAGGGGCCCGTGGCGGCCGTGTTCCAGTGGAGGCAGGGCTTTCCAGCACTGGCCCTTCTTCCTTGACTGTGCTCTCTGTCCACTGAGTTGGAGGCGTCAGGTGACCAGCCATGAGCCTGGGTCCTCGTTCATGTGGTTCCCCCAGAGCCCTGAGGGCCCCAGCCTTTTGATGAGGGCTGCAGAAATGAGGGGCTCTCTGGGAGCCCTGGGGCCCAGACAAAACCGTCTCTGACTTTGTCCTTAGCCAGATGGGAGTCCAAGGTTGTGGGGGTGATAAGAGGTGTTTATCTTGTTCCTTATCTGAGGCCCCACTGAGGTCCAGGGCAGTGAAGGGTGGGAGCCAGAGGTCACCTCTGGGGGCTCCGTACGCCCAGGCCAGGCTCCTACTCATCCTTTGTGTCCTTCTGGAGTTTGCTATCACGGGGGGGGGAGGGGGGAGGGCCCGGTTTAGGGTCAGAGTCTAGGTCGGTCCTCCCTGAGCCTCTCTGACCTTCCTTTTCTGGGTTTGCCTGACCCGTTGGCATCTCCTGCCTTTTCCAGGAGCCACGGCCTGCCTGGTCCTCCCCATCCCACGCTCTTCCTTCCCGCAGCGCTCACCAAACGCCGGTGAGCCCATCCGCCTGGGAAGCCGATGACCGAGCTTTCTTGACAAGGGGTATTTACCCATCAAAGATAAGAATCCCTCAGCCACCGCAAAAAAGCACTCAGTTAAAATCTCTGTCAAATCTCCTTGACAGGCTGTTAGGAAAGCACTCTGGGGGCTGCAGAACCACGGAAACCGCGTGGGCAGCAGGAGCGTGTCTCGCAAGTGAGGACCATGCGGGGCTCGGCTCTCCCCAGAGCTCCCTGGCCTATGCTTGGTCTCGGGGGCCATTTCCAGGTGCGCTGCGGTAGGACTTCGAACTGGGTGTCTGCAGGCCCTGGGAAGGCCCTAGGCCGAGGCAGCAGGTATGTGGTCAGCCGAAAGACGGTGAACGGTGGGGCTTCTGGCTAAAGGACGCGTGTCTCTGGGAGGGGCTGGCAGGAGGCCTGGCTTAGGGTTAGGCCCACGCTGGGCCCTGGGGGATTCTTGCCTCTCTGTGTCTCTGCAGCCTGGTTGGTACCTGGGGCCATCTGAGGCCGGGCTGGGCGTGGGTTGCTGTGAGAGGCTCCTGGGGGGACGGAAGGGCAGCATAGGTGGCCCGGAGCCCCGGCGGGTGAGACTGGAGCAGTCTGCGCGGGGCAGGCTGTGGTGTGTGAGAGAGGCCTTCCGGGCCTGTGGTTCCCCTGCACTGTGAGTAATCCTCGGCCACATTGCAGCTCCCAGGGGATTGTGCAACTTCCTCTCCGCAGGCCGGGTGAGAAACAGCGTGGGGGAAATGAGGAAACTGGGCCCAGTGCTGGGGTGGGGGCGCGGCCCTGGGCTCCGGCCCCGGAGGAGCTGAGCCTTCCAGGGGGCCTCCTTCCAGGGGGCTGCCCTCTGCCAGGTACACGGGTGAGCATGTGTGCGCATGTGCGTGTGCCTGCATCTGTGGTGTCTTAGGGGAGGTGGGTGCATGGGGACATGGCCCCTCAGGCTGCACTGGTGTCAGGTGTCTTCTGAGGAGGGGTGGGGGCTCTGAGCAGGGCCAGGGCTGGGACAGGTTGGGGGAGGTAGGGGAAGCAGGTGGCCGGTGAGAGGCCCCTGCCCAGGCTCAGGGAGGAGCGCGGGGTGGCGGAAGGCGTGTTGCGAGGTTCTGGTGAGAAGGCCGAGGGCATGGTGTGCTTAGGGCAGTGCCACAGCGAATACCCATTCACGTTAGGGACTGGGGCGTATACTCTGTGTCTACCTGCTTGGCAGCTACGTGATCCTGGCAAGTTACTTACCCTCTGGGTGCCTCAGTTTCCTCATCTGTGAAATGGAGATGACAATCATAGAGCCCACCTTGTGAGTTCATTCTGAGGATTAAAAGACTTTCCTTGTGTGAAGTGCTCAGAACAGAGCCTGGCACCTGATAGGTAAGCACTCTGCACAGGTTAACATTTTACCTGCACGTGGTGTTTTGTGTGCAGACAGCAAAAACCCACGCAGGGCTCCTGGTGATTCTTGTTGACGGTGGAGATTTGAGTTGGAACTGGGGATAATAACGAGAGCTCATGCTGACTTGGCTTCAGGCCATGTCAGGTGCTGTGCCAAATGCTTTACTGACCCTCACAGTCACTCTGCAGGGAAGATGCTGTTACCATCCCCATTTTACAGATGGGGATGTGGAGGCACAGAGGGGTCCAGGGACTTGCCCTAGGGCAGTGATGTCAGTGAAGGAGGGATGGCAGAATTGTCCCCCCAGCCCTCAGGTGGACGCCCCCACACCCTGCCCCTTCCCTGGGTTTGGTTAGAGATGGGTGGGGGAGGAGGAGCTAGCAGGGCCGGCTGTGAGGGGTGTGAAGGCAGGACTCTGGCCGGGGAGACCTGTCTTCTCTCTGCCCCATCTCCAAATAAGTAATCAACAGATATAAAGAGTTAAGTTAATATAGGGAATGGTTTTTTAGTAGTTAGGGTTGGAGTGGACTTCCTTGCAGGCTTCCTGCCACTGTCGTCTTAAGAGATAGGCTTGGCCAGGTGCAGTGGCTCATACTTTGGGAGGCCGAGATGGGGAGGATTACTTGAGGCCACGAGTTTGAGACAAGCCTGGGCAGCATAGTGAGACCCCTATCTCTACAGAAAATATTTAAAAAGACATTAGCCAGGTATAGTGGTGTGTGCCTGTATAGTCCTAGCTACTCAGGGTACTGAGGCAGGAGAATCGCTTGAGCCCATGAGTTTGAGGCTCCAGTGAGCTATGATCATGCCACTACACTCCAGTCTGGGTGACAGAGTGAGATCCTATCTCAAAAGGAAAAAAAAATAGAGGGTGTGAAGACCACTCACCTGGTGGGCAGTGTGGTGCAGTGGTTGTGAATATGGCTTCAGGTGCAGACAGCTCTGGCTTTGAGCTCTGTCTGAGCCATTTACTGTGTGGCCACATTTAAAATGGGGATAATAGCAGTTCCGTCTCCTAGGGTGATGGTGAGGATGAAATGGGCTACCATGCTTAGCACAGGCCTGGCCCGCAGTGTCTGACGAATGGGTGCTGTTATTAGGCACCTGTTTCAGAGATGGTCACTCACCAGGCAGTGAGTTGGGCTACACAGATATCTTTGGAGAGATGTTTTTGAACGGTGGATCGGGGACACCAATTGGGCCATAATATTGTCATGAAACCAGTGTAGCGGATCTCCACAAGCATTTTTTAATGAAAAAGAATAAAATAAAAAATATTCAAATGTGTTGAACGTCTTTAAGTATTATTTTGTAGAACACTGTTGTGTGTGTGTGTGTGTGTGTGTGTGTGTGTCCAGTGTCAAACAAAATATATTTTTCTGTGAGTCATGGTCAAAAGCTTTGGGACCACTGCCTTCGAGATTCTCCCCCTCCTGGGCGGTGTTTATGGAGCACCTACTGAGTACAACAGCCAGCACCAGTGCCGGAGCCAGCGCATCTGTCCTCTGCAAACCTAACATTCCGGCTGAGGCTAGGCTTCAAGCCAGGTCCTAGCAAGGTGGCTGGCATGTCTGTGGGTCAGCAGAGGCAGGGGCTGGGGCGGTCAGGGAGGGCTTCCTGGGTGATGACCGTGTGCTGGGTAGGAATGGTGGGAGGAGACGATGCCTGAGCGCACAGCTGGCTTAGAGTCTGGAGGCTAGAGAGCCACCGAGGAGGACGGGAGGCTCCCTGCCAGGAGCTGCCCATGCTAGCTAGAGCAGGGGGCTGGGCAGGGGTTGTCTGAGGGCACTGGGTGAGGGCCGTGCCTGCCTGCCCTGGCTGGGGTGGGGAAGGGTAGCAGACGGCTCAGGCTTCCCGATGCCTGCCCCCACAACTTGCAGGATCTGCAGGGACGGTGGGTGGGCCCCAGGGCCCAGGGCTCAGCCGTTCCCTCCTCTTACCTTGGTTCCTGGAAGCTCCTGAGCTTTCTGCTCCCCTCTGCAGCCCCTGCTAGCTCTGGTGGGCCTGGCCTGCGACCTGGCTCTCTCACCTCTGACCCTGGTCCAGAAGCCACAAGCCTTTTTACCATTTAGATCCCTGCCCTGGCAAGCGTGTGGCCCAGTGAGGGCCTCAGTTTCTCCATCTGTGAAGGGGGCACCCTAAGCCATGAGCAGCCAGCCTCCTGAGTGGCGATGCCCGTCTCGTGACCCGACGCGGACGAGGCGTCTGTAGGAAGTGTGGCGTGCGCCGGGGGGTTGTTATTGTCTTCTCTAAGGCTGGGCGGGCTGGGGAAGGTCATGAGGATGCCAGCTGCCTGGCTGGAGATCCCCCTGCCCCCACACCCCGTGACCTAGGGCAGTGGGGGGAGTGGTAGGGAGAGGCCTGTGACCATGGCTGGGGATATCCCGGCTCTGAGCAGAGGCGGCCTGGCAGGAGACTCAGCAAATGAGGGGCCTGGGAAGCCCCACCTCCAGGGCCCCAGCCTGCGTTCAGCCGTTCAGTGTAGGAGCGCGGCTTGGGGCCGTGTTGCCTGGTGGAGGGGCAGTAACCTAGGACCGATAGGCAGGGGCGATTTTGAGGAAGCTCTGGGTGGCTCCCAGCCTGTTGAACGCAGAGCCCGGGGCTTAGGCTTGGGCTCCCACAGTAGGATGTTGTGTTTAACGATCGATCACATATATTGAGCACCTACTGTGTGCCGGGCACTGTGCTAAGCACTTTTGTATATTTGCAGATTTAATCTCACAGTAACCTAATATGGGTTATCCCATTTTACAGATGAGGAAACCGAGGCCCAGAGAGGTTAAGTCCCTCACCCAAGGTTACCTAGCTAGTGAGTGGCAGCACTGGGCTGAGGGCATGAGTTCTGGATTCAGCTGCCGGGGTTCAAATCCGGTACCTCTCACTAGTAGAGGGCCCTTGGGCAGTGAGTAAATGTCTCTGACCATTCATTGCTTCCTCTGTGCCTCCTCAAAGGGCTGCTGTGACATGGTGACTGTGAAGTGCCTAGCACACAACCAGGGCCCAGTAAAGGGGACCCACTTCGAGATCTCTCCCGCCCATAGTGACAGCCTGCTGGGTGAGACCCTTGGCCAGTTTTCTGGTCTCGGGGTCCCCGTGTCCCCCGTTGTGTGACTCAGGGTGCTGAGCTCTCCTTTGCTTCTTTCAGTAGGGTTGCTGAGGGCCCCGGGAGGGTCCTTGGGGAGGCCTTCGGTAAGCAGAAGTGTGGGGCGACTGGAACCCCAGAGCTGCGGGAATCTTTCAGGGCTCTCGGCTACCTGCAGGCCTCTGAGCTTTGTGTGGCCATCGTCAAGCCTCTGTGTTTTCTGTGCATCCCTGCAGGTGTTTCGGTCGCTGATCCCAGATCTAGTCCAGGTTCTCCCAGGATGTTTTCCGTGGAAGTGTTGGCGGTCAAGTAGGCATGGGAGAGTGGGAGTCAAAGAAAGCAGAAAGCAAAATAGGGGTGAAGGACTGGGGAGAGGATGGTCATGGGGTACAAAGCTTGAATGAGACAGGAGGAGCGGGTTTTTGGTTTTTGTTTTGGTTTTGAGGGATGTTGCACAGCATGGTGGATATAGTAAATAATAATGTTTTGTACCTTATAAAATCACTAAGTAAATTTTAAGTGTTTGCTCCACCAGAAATGATAAATATTTGAGGGAATAGATATGTTAATTGGCTTGATTTAATTATTCTACATGATATTCCTAAGCTATAACATCACTTTGTACCCTGTAAACAACATACAACTATAAAAAAATTAGTTTCTTTGCTGCAGGACTTGTCAGAACCTTTGATATGCTGATATTCATTGGGCATCTCCAATGTATGGTCATGATATACCTCAGGGCTGCGGTCCCCAGCCCTGGTACCGTCTGTTGCCTGTTAGGAAAACAGGGCATCACCGTCTGAGCTCCCCCTCCCCCCACACCTGCCCCTCCCACCCCACCCCATCGGTGGAAAAATTACCTTCCATGAAACCTGTCCCTGGTGCCAAAAAGGTTGGGGACCACTGCCTCAGGGTATCTCAAAGACCTGGTGGTTACAGCCTCATTTTCCAGAGGGAGAAACTGAGAACTAGAGTGAAGCCTAGGAAAGGATTTCCCAGGTCACACAGTTGTCCGTGACAGAGCAGGGGCCGGACCCCAGTGCTCCTGACTCCGTAACCAGTGCTCTGCCGGGGCACCTCCTCCTTTTCCTCCTTGTTTTGTTTCTCTCAGAGGAATGCTGTGTGCAGTGCTGCTCCCTTCCCGAGTGCTCCTCGCCTTTTCCTGGCCCCCTCCCTCTGGCTCCCGGCGTCATCGCAGGGTGTCCTATTCCCGCTGGGCGCGGCTGAGATGGAGCTGCGCCCGGCATATGGCTCCTGGGAGTCTCCCCAGGCCCTGGATGGCGACAAGACTTCATCCCAGCTGCAGGGCCCCTCGGAAGTCAGCTCCTTTTATTAAGCCTCCATCTCCACAGCTGTGTAATGAAGCTCGTCATCTTGTCTGTCTTTGGAG